TATATACATACATATATATACATATATATAATTTTAAGTGAAATGACAGTGCTCACATTAGTAACTATCAAGTTCAAAAATGGAAACACATTAAGCCAAAGGGACGTTCCTTTCACAAGACATTCCTTGAGAGAGACCAAAGCAAAATGCTGTCTTACCTTTGGAGTTCTTCTTCTTTTTTGCTTTTGATATAAGTTCATCCTGCAGTTCATCCACAAAGTTTTCATTTTGGCTGCCATCATTTTGCACTCTCTCACCAGAGTGTTTACGCTTCCTGTCCAGACGTGGACATGGATGTTGGCCAATATCTTCTGTTGGCTGGTCTTCTGCTTTTTCATATATAGAATGTCTCTCTAAATAACATTTCTCATTTGAGAGATCTTTTGCCTCTGGAGTTTCAAGAAAGTGACCTTGGTTGTTTTCTGTACTAGTAAAGTTACCTAAAAATAAAAAAAAACAAACACCACAAGACCTAATAAATACAAAACAATTCATTGTGAGAAAGCTATGCTCTGATCTCTTCAATGTCATCTCCATCATGACTTATGGCTCATGAGGCATGCAAATAAACACAAAATTGTACTTCAGAACAAGTCTCCTCTGGTCAGCCTAAGGCAGCAGTTTTCTCAACAGTTAAGTACAAAACCCCCAAAACCGCGATACTTTGTGTTGTTTTTACATCAATTTAAGAAGTACAACATTCACAATACTTGTATCCATAGAACCATCACAATACGCTTTTTAAAATAAAGAAACATCTTTAGATATCGAAAGCACAAACCCTTTTCTGAAAGCAACCTCGCTCCCCAAAACGGTGGTAAGTAATAATCCAAGCTCCACTTTGCAATGACTTTGTTTTCAAAAATGCCTTCTGACGATAATAAAGTATCCGTCTTTCGCTAATTCCTAAGCCTTCCCTAACTTCTCACAAAGAATTGCAGAGTCTGACTTAAAAGCGATCGTCCCTTCTTCTGGAGATATAAATGGGATACAGAGCACGCACATACGTACACGGGAATACCACTAAGAATAGCTGTGATATTTTGCAAAAAGCACTACTTGAATCCAAGGTTATAAAAAGGCTTCCTCACTTCAAGTAACCAGCCAGTCATTGTACATCACATGATTTTTTGTCACCTCCTTTTAAAAAAGACCTCACTTTTTTCAGGGAGTATTTCCAGCAGCAGCCGAGCGGGTGAGCTTTCAAAAGCTTACTAGAAACTAGTCTGACAAATGAGCACAAAAACACCCACATTGCCATGCTTGCCCTAACTTCAGCTTCCCCTCTCCGATACTGTTCCCCCAAATTTAGTGAGAGCTTAAGCAATTTTAAATGGATGCTTGACTTAAAATGACACTTAATCATCACCTTGAATAGTTTTGGGGTTTTTTTTGAGCTTAACCAAAGTAGCCAAGGCATGGTTAGGCAGACTGCCACACAGTTAATCAGCTTCCTATTTACAATTCTCACAAACAAGTTGGGTTTCCCACGCGTTTTAGCCCTCCTGGCTGACCAATACTCTTTCTGCACGTCTGCTGCTGTTTGACAAACTGTCTGTATGCTCCGTCCTACTTCCCAACGGCTCACTGTCCCTTTTCCTCTTCCTCCTCCTTGCCCTTCCTCCTTCTCCCACTTCCCTTCCTGCAAACACATCTGCTGGTTTCCTACCTGGACTCCTGACAGCTCCGTTTCCCTTCCCTTCCCCTGACCCTCCCCATCCTTACAGCCTGGCCTTCGACTTCTGCTCCTCCCCCTCACCAGGGCAGACGTTGCTCCACTGCAGCCCTCTCTCCCCTCCTGTCCCCTCCGAGACCCACCACACCAGCGTCCAGGCACTGGCAGCCCCCGGATGCAGCCCAGCTCTATCCCACCTCATCTTGAGAGCACCTTCCTACAGCTCTGCCAACACCTTCTGGTTTCACGACCATCCTTGAAATACCTGTTGTCAGCAATGGAAGGCTGAGGGGGAAAAAAAAACTTCTCTGATGAGATTTTTCTTCACCACAACTTGGAAACGGCTCCAAGTAGCACCTAAGGTTCTGGAGACGTTTGCGGGCACCAGAAGACACCCCAGCATCATTTTTACGCTGCTTGGGAAGCTGCCTCCGGGCCTGCTTTATAAAACAGCAGAAAATATTTGGCCAAGAAAAATCAAAACAAAAGTTGACTTTTTCCAGGCGAGCGGGACGCTTGGGCCATTCTGCTATTTGGCGGTACTCCTCTCCGCAAGGCCGTCTGGCCAACACCTGCTCCCTTCAAGACTTTGGAACGCAGTTTATCACACTTCTTCCAGCCAGCAATGCTGACATGTTCCAGAAAACAGGTATCTTAGCTTACTATGACTGTGCCTCTAACTCGCCGGTGTCCCCCCGAACCAGAATGAATCTGGCAAGACCCCGTGCTTGCACATCTGGCATAAAGATGCTGCCCAACAGCTGTACCCTATAACCACACCAACAGTACTGGCAGTCCTGTTTCACACAGCATAAAAGAAGCTGGACCAGCCACGTTTTAAGTATCACTTTAGAAAGGTTTCTATCGGATTTCATTTTACATTTTTAATGCAATCTGCTATTTTTCCCCCTTTCATGAGGAAACATTATACTTATACGCTCAGTTTCCCCGAACAGATCAGGTAAGGGCACTCTCTGCCACGCTCCTGCTGTTTATAGCCTTTGTGTCTCCTGCAGTACCAGCAGCTACACACCACGGCTCATGCCGAGAGTTGCTAGATCGGGACAGCTTTCCTGCTCCTAACACTGTCTGGCCTGAGAAAAGGCAGGCACATCCTGACCAATTCCCAGAGAAGCTTTCGCAGGGTCAGAGGAAGTAGCAGGCTGTAGGGGGGGGTTCGATGGTCTTAATCTCTGGGGCTTGCAGGAAACAGCAAGCTAATTCCATCCTGCCACCACCAAAAGCGACCCACTGCAGATTAATTCCTTCTCTATCTGCAAGAGGACTGGGCACAGGGATGCTGAGCGTCGCTCGCTCAGACCGTCCGTGATAAAAAATAAAAAGGAGGGGAGAGACATTTGCTGTAACTTTGCTAACTGCACGTCACCGTTGGTGTTTCTCCAGAGCTCCACATGCCACGGAGAGCAGCACACACCTACTAAAGCTTATGCAAAAAGCTCTCGCTGCCAGTGGCTCTGCGACACCTTTGCCTCTGCTCTCCGGTCACATCCGAAGGGGACCCCTCAGGCGACCAGAGCTACATCTCCTTGGCCGCTGAGCCAGAAATCCCTCTCAAGGACTGCCCACTGCACACGCGTCTCTGAAATCCGTCCCGCTAGATGCGGTTAAGACCATTAGAGGGGCGCATCTCCGCACGGTAATCCGGGTTGTGCAATCATCCTGCATCGACACGGGAGGACAGCGACGGCGAGGCCAGGGAGCTGCGCAGGACGCGTCCTTGCTTATCTGCTCCGCCGCCGATGCTCCCCGCCTCTTCTACAGCCGGATTTTCACCGCGGAAGAACAAAGGTCAGTCGCTGTTCGGGACACGGCATAACCCACCGGCTGTCAGGCTCTCTATGCAGCTTGCACAGACACATCGCACGCCCAGAGGTTTTTCCCCTGGGCACAGCGGCGACCGCCTCACGGAGCACAGGCTCTGTTAATATTTTACCACTGGATTCCACTCTGTCCTCAAACTGTTTTGCAAGCAACCCGGATCAGACACGATGTCTCCCCAAATTGAGATATAAATGTCAACATGAGGCACAGCAACATAAGCATACCGTGCACGCCCAACAAGGACAAGGAGAATTTATTCGCTTTTGTTCCCCTCCGCCATATATCTAGAACATCCTTTTCTCTGCCTGAGGAAGAAAACAACAACAAAATACTTGGGAGTTTTCATATCATCATTATTCAAACAGTGATGAGGTAGCCAGAAACACAGGATAAGTAGCAACACACCTCTATGAGTAAGGAGATTAAACTCTTAAATGTGTTCCTTCCTCAAGCCTCCAGCATTTGCCAGTCTCACACCAGCTGTGAGAACCAGCACCAGCAACTCAAACCATTTCTCACTGTCCTACCAAACTAGAAACAAGGAAGAATTAAGAAGATGATCCTTCACATATGGTTTCTGCCTGAAGCAGTATCTCCTTAGTGCACAGGTTACAATCTCACGAGAAACAGTTACACGCACGCACGCATAAACACGCTACCCAAAAAAGAGTTTCCTTCATTTTTTCATCTTCCTGTTGCTGTCAGCTGCTTGAGACCAGGCCCTCTCCTGCGATGCAAACAAGGAACACATCTTAGTGTTGAAGCTGCAATTCTTTTGTTCAAATAACATGGCAGCTAAAAACAGCCTTTCCTCTTCCCTGGAGCAACCTCTCATTGCGCTCACTTATGCAAGGCACCCTTTATTCATCCGAGGACCGTAATGACTATCCAAATGCTAAAACCCAGTATTCAGCATGGAGATCACAACACCAGTAAGAAGTTCTATAAGTCACCTTCACCATCTAATTCTGAGTATCCCACGGGGCAGAGGGAACCCAGGTGATTTCATTTTTCCCTCCAAGTACCTCTGCTTGGGAGCTTTCCACATTTGTTTCCTTCTGCCCAAGCCTACCACACCACAACAAACAATTCTCCATGCACAGGCTGCTGTTTTTTCCCCTTTTTTTTTTGCACTATGTCCCGTGGCAAGGAGGTAATAACTGACCAGGACAAAGGACATGTTTACTGTCTCCATGTTTCATTTGTTCAGATATACACACAGCCCAGAGAGAAAAGCAAAGCACGGGATTACCATGCAAAGGGACACCGGCACCTCACTCCGACACTGAAGACCAGCCCTAAAGGCTTTGGCACATTACACCATTTACTTTCACACATAGAAACTGCTCTAACTTTTCCCCCATGACCTCATGCCTTAAGATCAGGCTTTTGACATATCGGTTTTTATTTTTCCCAGCTAAGGCTTAAACAGGCAGTGTCTTCCTCCTAGAATATTAGATAAACAGGTAAAATCACACTCCCCGATCAAGAAATTCACAGCTTGTAGAATTTATTCAATCTTTCACACTCGGATATGATTTTCAATACCGCTAGAAAAAGCTTTGTTATGAACCGACATGCGATCATCACATGCCCGTATTGATGCGCGTGTCCATGCCAATAGCTTAAATCACTTGATCTCTGAACAATCCTATGACTCATGACATATGCATCCCATAATTTATCATGTTTGTTCTATGGAAATGCACCAGAGCAGCATCGCCTCAGCAACATTTACAAGTCACCTTGGCAACAAAGCAGCTTCGCGGCTGCTCTCAGAATGCCCGGCAAAACCTAAACGAGATGGGAAAGAATTAAAGCACTTCTGCTTTACTCCTTGGCTTTAATTGCTTATTAATTAGCTAATACAGCTACCTCCCTTAAATCGGGCCTTTTGGGGGGGGGGGGGAACCCAACACCTTTTTTACCCGTCTCCAGAAGGCACGATGAAGCTTAAGACGACTCTCGTACAGCAAAGCCGTGCACCGCCAAGTCAGAGGAAAAGTTTAAGGAATCGGATATTATGCCTTCGTTCGCTTCCAATGAAGTCCGTAGACGTGCTGTACAGCTAGGAAAATGAGCAAGTCCCAGGGCAAGCTAAAAAAAGGAGCTTCCATCCCATCAGATGCCTCTGTAAGCATCACCTGCCTGTGTTACTTAGCCTTTTGTTGTGGTGGTGGTTGTCGTCGCACTGGTAGATTTAGAGAAGCCGAGGGAGCGAGCAGCTGCTAGGGCCCCCATCGGCTCCTGCATGCCAGGCC